GTAACGTACATTATTTATATATTTAAAGGTTACTGTATTAATATCAGAAATAGCAAAACGCACGCGCTCTGGTGTCTCATGCATTTATATATAAACATTTACCGAATAATACTAAATTCATTAATCTTAATTAGAGCGACATTACAAGCTAAAAGATAGCCAGTCACTCGGATTATCTCTATTCTGAGAAGTTTGTTTCCTTTTTCATCATGGAGATTTATGATCATAATTTCATAAGGTGTACGATGTACGCGTAACGACATAAAGGTGAATAAGAAATGACTACCTCCGAATGACGCAGTCGTCATTTTTCTTCGTCGGCGTCACGCTGGCATACGTAATAACGGCGAACGCAACAGGTAATGGCACGTGTCCTATTAAATTAACTGAAAAAAAATTCTTCCGCTGCATCGTAAGCAAATATTTAAAGATGCAGCGGTATCGCGACGTCCGCCGACGTCGCCGACGTCCGCTCTAATACGCTATCCGTCTCGCGAGAGTGACTCTTCAGTCACCTTACGTATCTTGTAAACGCGCGAGCCTAAGCAAGAAGATAGCTGTATAATTTTTGATTGATTGATTGATTTTACACTCCCGATTATTCTCTCGCCTCTTTCGAGAGAAATTACAGACTATAAATTTTATTTCAGGCATTGGCGGTTATGGCTACACCCTCTCGGCCCCGCCGAATTTTCGTACACTTTTGTCAGGACGGAACGGCACCGTCGATAAATTCCCCAGCGACATTTAATGTACATTAACGTCGCTTCGAAGGAATACACGAATTGCTTCGGGGAGTTTTATGTGCAGCACGATTTTTTAGATATTACAGAGAGAGAGAGAGAGAGAGAGAGAGAGTTCTTCTGGATATAGTATTGTTATCTGTTAAACTTGGATTCAAACAATATAATTGTATATCAAATATCATTTATTTCATTAGATCAAGTCATGTATTTTGATAGAAAAAGCACTATTATTTAAGAAAAATTAAATTAAATTTTCAATCAAATAATATATTGTTTAATTACGTTTTCAATTTTATCTCATTAAATTAAATCTAAAGTTATTTGGTTGGAAAAAACTATTGTTTTAAACATTGCGTTCTTTACTCTAATCTGTTGTTCGGAATAACCAATATAATGTTTAGTTAAAAATCCAAAAGAAATCGTAGCATCACTAATTCGCTAATGTAGCATGTTTTATCAATATCCGTTTTATCGTATCTATCAAATGTTGCTGCATCGTTTTAAACGATTGATTACCAGTAATTGTGGCATAAAAAGCTCTTTTGAATATTATAAAGATACATTATAAACACAGTGTTTTACAAATAAGCTATATTATCAAAATAGATTGACATCACAAATTCCTATACGATCATTGAAATTAAACAACCCAAACCGTGATTAATAAAAAGGTTAAATGACCGTTTTGACCAGGGAATAATGGAGTGTTTTGATAAAAAATCAAGAGGGAACAAGGCGCGCACACACACACGTAATGAATTATGATGTAGTAATAAAAAACAGGCTGTCAGTAATGCAAAACACAATGTCAAGTTCCTTAAGATTAAACAAAATTATCAGACTCTTGTAATAAAATAAGAAAATTAAGCAACAATTTAAATTAAAGAAAAATTTTCTTCTTTGAACCAAAAAATAAATAATTTGAAATAATATTTAAAAATAAATAATTTGAAAAAATAATAATTTGAACCAAACAATAAAATTATTTTGTATTCCAAACAATCATATCTGTTGAATAAAAAATTAGTTTACTTGAAATATATCAATAAATAAAATTTTTTTAATTTAATGAAATGTATTAAGTCCAAAGAAACCGTTCTCTCTTCTTTCCTTTCCCTCTTTTTCTATGTACTATGTAGGTGATAGTATCCATTCTGTAAAATAACATGATAAAAATGTGACTTTTTATTATTAATTTTAGGAATAAAATGATACGTATATATAATACAATTTTAAATAGATATATATAAATAGAATTCTCTTTTCTTTATATATAAAGCCTAGTCTCAATAATTTTTATTCCCACTTATAGAGAAAGCGAAAACATTCCATGAAAAAATTTCAATTATGTTTCTCATTTATTTATAGTGTGATTATTTAATTAAAAGTATGTTGGTTCTTCAATTTCATAAATATTTTAAATATCCATATAATATTGCTCTCTACACTAATTAAACAATAATATAATAGATTCCTTTTTCGCTCGTCGTCCAACTAATTAATACTATTTACGTCTTCTATGATTTTAAAATTTATGGAAAAAAATACTTAATATAAACTAATCTTTATCGCGCGCGCGCGCGCGAAAATGAAAGCTCTGGTTATATCTATAGCATATAGCCTATCAATATGTGCAATAACTGTAAGAACATAATATACATGAACAGAGGTAGTAATTTTCAATTCGTTGAAATCGGCGTGAAAATTATGATATAATCATCATCGAATCTGTGATTATCACTTACGCGTACGACAATCATAGCGAAATAGGGCAGAGTTTCCTGCAGAATCGACTCAAAATCGTAGATTATAAGTACGCAAAAATTTATAAAATACCTGTGCGTTCACAGAATTACTCGAATTACTTTGTCAACTACTGGACTCGAGGACTGCCGTGAACGCCGGCAGATTGAATTGCGCCTGAAAAAGCGTAGTGGCCTGCCGAGAGCGCATTTGCACGAAATCCAGCGATTGCTACCTCCACAGCTTATGCTACCGTGTAATATCGAAACAGCGCTGGCACTTTAAACGCTCTTATCTCATAATAACGCGAGCGATTCAACGCTACGCACGTGCGACACGATAACGTTGTCCGCAAATTGAATAGTCGATATAATTTCAGGAAAGTTGTCCTTGAGAGTTTTATATCAATTTAGATTAAGTTTATGAAATTCAGATATAAATTTTATAAATATGTGTCCACTCGTATATGTATGGGTGTCTCAGATTATCATTCTCAAACTTCGCGAGGCGGATTGAAGTAAATATAAAAGTCCTATATCGTTTTGCGATATTCGTAATAAATCTCGAGATATTAATTAAAGAAAATTGGTAAAACATCACGTATGATATGGTAAATGGCGCCGTCTACTATTGTATACTTATACATTAGATCAAACTGAACAAAAATATCCTCTATCATTTTGCAAATGACCACATAGATTTTTAGATATTAATTAAAGAAAATGTGCGCATTGTCGCGCACAATCATATAACAATTTTTTTTCATGAATGATTAAAAATCTATGTGGTTATTTGCAAAATAATAAAAGGTTTTTGCTCAATTTGACTTAATGTACAAGCACAAAACAGTACACATCGCCAGTACAGCTCATTTACTATATCGCGCGTGGTTATTTATCAAACTTCTTTACTTACTTTATCGAGATTTATTACGAATATCGCAAAACGATATGGGATTTCATGTACATCTTAGTCCGTTTTACGCTCACGCGAAGTTCGAGAATAATTTTTGGAACACCCTGTATATGTTTCTTTTTTGCATCCCTAAGATATTATATCGCATAGCATTTAGTTTGAAAGAGGGTAAAAAATGGGAAATGAGAAATTGATTTTTCTCCATGTGTAACCAATTAAATTTACTTCGCTATTAATTTCGTGCCGTTACACTATGCGAAATGCAATTAAACTATTTACGCGTGATTTGTATTCATAGCAATTCGTTATTTGCTTGTTAAAAAGCAATCTGGATGGAAAAGCGCGGCTGAAAACCACCATTAATAACCGTCGAGATTAATTTTATATTCGATGAGCATTTCACCGTGAAAACGTCCGTCGCCCGTGAAATGGCCTTTCCCATGTTATATAATGCTAAATACGGCCGTGGTCTTCGTGTTGTGCATAAATTTTGTAAAAATAACGCAATCCAGCGCGAGACCGAAAAAGGGGCGAAGGCGCACCTCGGCGACAGAATACATACGATTCCCCTCCTCGCAATCCACTTTACCTTACGTTCTCCGTGCAGCAGAGAAAGGCTTATCAACCGCGTGCATTCCCCGAGAGGACGGTAATGAAAATGCCTCCGGAATATTTCACGTGCCCCTTTAATACATCACGGAGATGGCACAAGGGAGGGGGGCGAGAACGAGGGAGGAGGGAACGAAGGAAAAGCTGCTGTAGAGCCGATGCCGGAACGGGCAAGGTAAAAGGACTATAAAAGAATCCCTTTTCCATTCCTGCGTGGTACCCTTTACCGTCCGCGGTCTTCTCATTTATAGCCCTTAATTCGAGCGACACGACTAGCCTCGGGCACCTCTTTATCTCGCTTCATCTTCACTGTCATGAAATTCCCTTGTCGTTGTTACTACGAAGAGGAATAAGAATCAGACCGGACTACATACAAAAAAGAAATAAACAAACGTAGCTCTCGGTACAGTAAACTTTACATTTATTGTGTAACTATGCGATGCGTTTTATCTTAAATTTCACGTTCATCTGCGCACACAAAGAATTATAGAATATATACAAAGTCCACAAACATTATAAGCAAATAACACCGGGAAAATAAGCGAATGTAAGGTTATTCTCGTGAGGAAACGAAAGCGCAGTCGGTACATTCGCATGCGAGAACTGCACACTTCGATATTTCCTGCAAATGGAGATATATCAAGTTGCCGCGAGCGACTCCTTTTAACGAGCAATTGCTCTCAGTACTTTCTGTCGCAAACAAGGCTCGCGACGTGGCTCATAAGAGAGACGGTCACGCTGGCTTTACGCTTGTCTCGCGCGTTTCCCTCGACGATAATAAATCCCTGTCTCTCCTACATCGTATTTTAATTATCAGTGATCCAGGCCTGCTTAGCAATTCAAATCGCACACGTGACTACACCCTTGACACCGCACTTGCGACCGCACGTGGAAGACCTTGGGCTAACGAAATTGGCGTGCCAGCACGCGACAGCAACGCGTCCCCACACGCTCTATAACGCTCTGTTTCAGCGCGTAATGACTTACCGTCCATCCCGGCAGCAACGTCGTTCGGCGATCGGCGATTATCCGCGACGGGACGTCGCGGGATCGCGACCGATCTTGCGCGCGATCGATCCATCGAAGCGCGACGTCGTGAGAGCGCGGTCTACGGGGTCTTGCATCCGCGTTGACGTGGACCCGGCAGATCGGAGTCTCGATCTATTGACACCCATTGACGCGAGTGCGCCGCCTCTTTCGACGTAGCTGCGAGCCGACGTGTCACGCACAGACCTCGACATGATGTCACGCGTCCATGGCGAAGCGCTCCTCGTGTCGCATATCCGTTATGGGAAAAATCGGGCCGAGAGGGCAAGAGAAAGAGAGAGGGAGGGAGGGAAAGAGAAAGAGGAGCAGAATAGGAGAGAGAGAGGGGAAGGGAGAGAGGGAGAGAGAGAGACAGACAGACGGCAAAAGAGAGGCAAAGAGAAGAAAAATTGAACCACAGGAAAGTCTTCGAGGTCTTCAGTCTACCGTCGTTTGGATTACCCACGTCGCGCGACAGTGGCATATACGGAAAGCCGTCTTAAGCCGCGCCATTCAATGCCGGCAGATCGACTGGAATATTTCGCAATGGCATCAGAAAGCACGGCGATCCGGTCGGCAGAGCGGCATTTTGCCGACGGAAGTTTATTAAATTCTCCTGAAAACGACGCTTGTGCTCTTTCCGCGGGCTTCGTGCCGGCTGATCGTTCCTTAACCGATCCACCTTGCGCTCCTCCTTCTCCTCCTCCTCTTCACGAGCTTTCTCCCTGGTTCGTGTGTGCTCGATCGCCCCCTTCGAACTTCCCTTGTGCACTGTCCGCTGCCCTCAGCCCTCCCGTTCTCTTTCTGCGGCTTATCCGCCTTTTAGCCCCGCTTGTACAATTGATTCGCTGCCACCCTTTGATCCTCTGGTCCGGCGCGGGCCTGCAGGCCCGAGTGGAGCAGCAAGTCGTCGGCGACACCGGATGCCCCGTTAATCCGATCCGCCGGCACTTCCGACTAATTTTGTCGCGCCGCTGCCACGTCGATCGACGTCGAATTTCCTGACCGGAAATTTGGCCCCGCGGCGGAGCCGCGCGGACGAAACGCGTGCACGCCCCACGCGCTGGTCCATACGGGTGTCACCGATCGGCGGAAGCGAGTGATTATCGTGCACTGCTCGATCAATTATCGTTCGACCGTCCCTGTCGTATCCATGTCCGATCCCGGGTCCCACCCTAAACTTCGCGATTCTCGAGCGGCACAACACGCATGTCACACGACGAACTCTCGCAGAAACGGAGGTAGTCTTTTCAGTCAGGAACGCGCCACCGACTCTCGATCCCGATCGATTCGCGGTGACGGCGGCTATCCGATCCGATCGTCCGTCGCGCGAACGCGGTCGACCTCCCCGACGCGTTGGAGGTACCTGTGGATTCCGGCGAGCGACGATCGACGATTGAGCAATGGCTAGACGCGACCGCTAAGTATCAAGTATTTATCGACGTTCCCGTGCGACAACTAATTTCGACGTTGACCGAATGGCGTCGTCGGCGAGGGGTGGCATCATCGCCGTCGTCGTCGTCGTCGTCTTCGTCATCGTTGTCGTCGCTTATCTCGATCGGCCAGGCAACACTTTCGAGCCACGTCGTGGAGCGTACGGCGAGCGACTGGCTGTCTGCTCGAGTTTCCACACTGCCTCGAATCCCGAATGCTCGCGCGCGCTCGAGAGGGGTTGGTGGTGAGCGAGAGAGCACGAGGGGAAAGAGAGAGAACGAGAGAGGACGCGCGCGAGAGGGGACTCCACCCTCTCCCTCCCTAGCAAAACCCTCTCGCGCGCACGCTGTCTGCGACCAACCCCCTAATTCTCAGCTCTCCTCCACCAGCCACCTTCTACTCCTCCTCTGTGTCGCTCTGGCTGTCCCCGTTCTCTCTGTCCTTTTCACCCTCGCTCCTATCCATCTGCCTTTTTTCTCCCTTCCTCTCTTTCTTCCCATAGAGTTCTTTTCGCGATCTTTTCTCGCCTTTTTTTAGAAGGGCTACAAGTATCGCCAAATTCGTTGGCGCAGGTTCTGCCGTTGCCTGGCGGCGGATATGATGACACTGAGCTATGATTACCGACTGCGCGTCTGTGTGTCGTGCTATCAGATACTACTAGCGCGCAGGGAATCACACGTTACGAGACAAGTGTCGGTTGTTGTGCTCCAACCAGCTCGAGCGTTCCACCGCTGGCGTTTCTTTCTTTGAGAGTCGACTAACGTTTTTCTCGTTCTCTCCATGGAACGAAACTCTCACCAGAATTCCGTTAGATACGCTAAGAGCCTGGAAACTTAGTTTGGTTCTGCTCAATATCGCTGTGAGATGATTCAAAGGAGCATTATGATGTGATAATGACAGATTATTCTGTGTAAATATATGAAGAGTCTCATTCTACACGTGAAATTTTCGCGTAAACCAGTTTCTAAATAGCTTTTGAGTTTTTTCCTAATAATTTTCTAACGTTTTATTACAAGACAAATATTTATCGAAATTGTACACAAAAACACGTGCATGTTTTATTTGCTGAGCTGATTATTAAGCTTATATAAAGTATAATTTTAAGACTTATAAGGGAGTTTAACGTAAATCTTTCATTCAAACATGTTGGTTTCAATTTGACAAACATAAAATAGAAATCCTATATGCAAGGATTTATATTTATTTCTTAACGTTTAGAGTTAAACAAAGTTTAAGATACACTATTGTAAATTTATAAATATATAATATATTATATATAAATATATAATAGATATATAATAGATATAATATATATAAATATATAATAGATATATATATAATAGATATATATGTAAGTTTATAATATAATTAGCTGCTTGTATAGACACATATGATGATTTTAACATTAATTTTATAATTGTGCTTTGACATACACACGAAAGGCATGTCTATACATAAATGTTAAATAATTACAATATTATTAGGGTAGAATATATCTTTAACGAAATATCCTGTGTAATATTAGCTGGAACGCTTTGTAGACACTGTATTGTAATAGACTAAAATCGAGTCACATTAATTGTATATATCCCAATGATTACTTTCTAATAATTAGCATAATGCTTACAATATGGAAATTGCATAATATAACATTGTGTAAGATATACACACTGATTGTATTTGTTTGTTATTAATCATTCCTTTATTCTGCAGGTTACAGTTATGGTAATAAAGCGTCGTAGTAGCTTGAGCTGCAGCAAAAATCAATAATCTATAGTCATATCCCCTTGATTCGCGATCGCTTGACCTATATAATTTTTTAGCCGTATAATTTTCATAATGGGTGAAGTAACATCGACGTGCTTGTTTCGAACACATCAAATTAACATTACAATCACTCTTCGTCAAAATTATGTCAATTACAGCTAATAGGAGAGTAACAAAAGTAAAATATCCACACAAACTATTTGAATGGGTGCAATTCATAATAGATTCTTAAATAATGTCGCAATTGTAGTCCTGTTGTATGGTTCTCTAATAATATTACGCTATCAATCCTATGATATAATCGGAAAATGTTTGTGCAACGTATTGAGAGGAGAAGTATCTCTCTTACGGAATGGAATCAGCATTGCTAGTAACTAATGCATCACAATTGAGGTATTATCGTATGAATATAAATGAGTTGTAAATAATAATAAATCCGAAATTCCATTTTGGATTTCGAATGACGCAGGTTCATAAACCACGTCTCATAAAGGCCGAAATCTCTTAGGTTACACAAGGAAGTTGAATTCGGTGCGCGGGTAAAGACTAGGAATGGGGCAAAAGCAAAGAAATTTATAGTTTTCAATTTTCCGTTTGTCCCGGCTTGCGTAGCTCTCTGCAATCGTATTCGTAGCTCTCTCCCTCTCTCTCTCTCTCTCTCTCTCTCTCTCTCTCTCTCTCTCTACCTCCTTTTTCCATTCTCTTTTTCTCATTTAACCTGTCCAATATGACATGCTTTCTAGAGATGAGATACGTATGCCTTCTTTTATGTACAGAAAGGAGATTTTCATCGCCGATTGTCGATAATCTGACAGGTTCACAATAATGAAATAAAGGAATTTTGAATAAGGAATATAGTCGAATAATAAGAAATATCGCCATTTCTAGCCTGTTAAGTGTCGTAATGGAATTACTAGCCTCTAACCCAACCTAATCTACAAAAAGTTTACAACTTAGTGCGAATTTGTGTGCAGTGTGTATATCTTGTTTTAAATTTTCTGTATTTCGCAAATTTTATTATATAAATTTTTAAACTTCTATTTCACAGTCAATCTATTCCACAAATTTTTAATCATTCTTCCTTATATATAAAACTAAAATATGGTTTTAATGTAATCTATGTTTCAAGTAGGGAAGACCGGGGCCAGATGCTCTATATTTCAGAATTTCGAAGTTAACTTCTCAGGCAACTAATTGTTGTGACTGACTGTATAAACATGATACAGGCAATGTTCTTCTATGTATTAAGCTGAAGCTGAAAACTTTACCGAGAGAACACTGATATTTTTCTGTAAAGTTTACGTCGTATTGGTTACACAGAATTACAAATGCTTTGACGCAATAAAAGTACGTGCAAAAATAGAAGCATTGCTCGATATGTGACAAAAACGAACAAAATATTTTTCATGTAAAATCTCAAGCTGTCAGTTAGCGTAATATTTGCCTAATCCAAAAGTTCCGCAGCTTGTACATATCGAAAGTGTGGGTGCTCCAAACAGAAAAATTTTGAAGAATATTGCTCTACCTTCGCATCTGCATTTGGAAGCTTAAGAATATCGAAAAAGTTTGCAGAAAGATTTCCACACATATATGGTTAGGTTTTTCGTTGAATATGGTAAAACAAAGCAACACACATTCATGTAAGTTTTGTATATACAAGAAATACGAAAAGGATAGCGTGATTATGTTAGTGACGATCGTCTCTGTACTATCGACATTGTTCGAGTTCGTCATCGACTCCAGCTCGCCACGATCTTGTTAACCGTATATCTCGTTTTGTAATAACCAAAATACGAACATGCAGCAACGTAGTTATCTTATCCTAATACCGAGTTTAGTTGCCCAGCAGCGCAGACTAAAAAGGGCCATGTATAAAATATGTATCCTAATTAGTAGCTTCAGTCTCTGCGAGAGGTCTCCGCAGTCCTTCTGCTAGTCTTTAATTATGAGCCAAACTCGTACCTCGTCCACTCATATGCTCTACTTTAATCATTTTATGAATGAAAATTGTATATTTATTATATCCCAGAAATAATATATTTTTTTCAAAATTTACTTTTAATAAATTGTTATTTCACTAGAATTATTATAGATGGACCAAATCCATAAAATCCGAAGGTTGTAAAAAATATTTGACATTACAATTTAATGAAAACTAATTTTAGTTTCTTTGAATAGTTATCGATTTATCTTTCAGACACTATACAGATAATGTTCCCTAACATTTAATGTTTCTCTAATATGTGCTTGCACTATAGTGACGAAATATTCATCCACCCCAATTATCGTTAACGATAATTTAGGAAAAACTTTTTTTTTTTTCAAAATTGCAGTCTGAAACTAATGTTTATTTTAGAATAATATAGAAAGGAGTCAGTTTTTTTTTATTTACTAATGTATGTTTGTTTAAATATTTGTGCTTTGCACATTTTTTTGCGTATTATCATTTACGTCATATAAATATTATTATCTTTGTTAATTAGATATTGGAGTGTTCTATTCATCTTTGTACACGTTACATTTTGAAAGGAATCCTGCATTTTTCAGACGTACGTGCGTGCGCGCGCGCATACACTTATCGGCTTATCATTTTTGTAGAGGTTTAGACGTCTCGATATCCTACATTTGTCCGAAAGAAAAACATATTTTCTTATCCCCTTTGTTTGGCAAACCCTCCAAAGTAGTCACGATAGAAATTGCCTAAATCAAAAGAAACTTTCGACAGAGGAGCTTTTCCCTCTCGAGGGAATAATATTTTAGGAATAGACCTGCAGCCTCTCTCATAACTCAAATTAATGCCATGCAGAATTATAAAATTATAAATTCAGTTGTTATAAGTTTCTTTGCGTGATTTAGGGTGCAACTTTCTTCCAGTTCCTTTCTAAATGTACCATATGATTGGTTACTTTTCGATATCTATAGTGGGACTATGTTCAGAACATATGCTACATAATTCGTGACTGCAATTTCAATGATGGATTATATTCTATGCATAAGCACAAAATTATACGTTTCTTCTCCCGATTTATATGATCCGCGATGAATAAAACAATAATAAGGGTAAGTCGTCGTTTAACGAAGATATTAATAGCTAGACGAAATACTGGACTAATGAATCATAATTCTACGAATTAATGATGTAAATAATGTATTTGCTGTTGACGTTGATTCAATTTGTTTGATTGTAGCTATTCGACATCCCCCACATATTGTGCAGTCGTGTAAGCAGATAGGTTATCAATGTACCTATCTATTTGTCGATCCATGGGTACGTTGGATTGACTAGCGTTTAATCGATTATTTACAGCCCATCAAAAATTGAACGTATACGGCATATGGTCGTCTAAAAATCATACAAATAAATCGGCGCGAATTGTTTGGTGAAATTTACAA